TCCCACCCCATATCCCACAGAAGACTGCCCCTTCCCAGCAGCACTTCCCTCCATGTCTGGCATAGGAATGCCTGGAGCAGGGGAGTGGGGAGCAGGGAGTGTCCTTGGCCTGTGCTGTAGGCCCTAGGTAATGCCAGCCTGGGCAAGTGGGAGGCTCTAGGCATTAGGAAGTAGACTCTGATGTGGGGGGAGGAAAGAAAGGGAAGCAGGCATCAGGTTCCAGGTTCTGCCCAGAACCAGAGAACCACAGGCTCCTCACTCAACCTCTGGATGAGCAGAAGCCTCAGGACTCAGCTACCTGTACCTGGAGGGCTCAGGAATGAGAGAGACAGTGCTTGGATCATATTCCTGAGAGCAGGCCTAGAGTTAAGCAGGCAGCCATGCAGGAAGCCAGGGCCTACACAGCATCCAGGATGAGCTGTGTCACTAATTTGGTGTGGTTTTGCACAAGTCATTGTCCCTCACTGGTCTCAATCTTTCCCTCCTATATAATGGGTGGGTTGCATTAGATGATGTCTACAAGCCCTTCAGCTTTAATAATGATCTATAATCATTGAAAAATTAATATAGATCATAGGATGCCAAAGCTGAGGCCCAGAACACTGGCAAAAGCTGGGAAAACAGGCACCCTGGGGCCTGGGATGGTTGTGGGCACCCAAGAGCAGAGTCAGACCAAATCATCCCAAAGATCAGCAAACCCTCAGCCTGGGAAAGGACATAACCAAGAACATGAGAACATTTGAGGCCCCAGCAGCAGTTGCTGAGATCTGAGGTAGGTGTTGTGGTCACCCACCAGCAGTGAAGGGAGCTCCCGGCTGTGGCAGGTTCTGGGGGAGGAAAAGAGAAGCAGAGTGTGCCCAGCTGGGGGCAGAGATGGGCAGGGGGTATCATTAATCTGCCACCCTGCCACCCACACCTACATCTGCACAACAGCTCCCAAGCCATGGAGGAGGGGAAGAAATGGATATAGTCCCTGGCACCTCTCACTGCTCTTGTCAGTGCCCCCTCCTCCAGGAAGGAATGGGGATGGGGAGGAGGGGGCACTGAAACTGGAGCTGGCAGACATGGTTCAGGGGCTCCTGGACTCCCACCCTCTTCCCCCTCCTTCACCCCATCTTTTCCAGAAACAACATCCTAGCCTGTCCCTCAGACCCTTCCTGCCCAGGCCTGGGCTTAGCACTGGTCAGAGACCTGCAAGGCCCTTAGTGGGCTCAGAAAGATGCCAGGGCATGGGCCCTTCCCACTCTGCAGGGTACCCTGGGGGCCACCCTCCCCAGCCAGCCAGCCATGAGGAAGGACTGAGCCAGGGGAGCTGGCGCCCTCTGCCTAGGCCAGCTCTCCGCAGGGGCCGTGCCGCCAGACCCTTAGGCTCCCGGAAGCGCACACCTAGGGCACCCTTTCCAGGTGCCTCCAAACCTGTAGGGCCAGCTTTCCCCTCGGCCTCCGGGCCCGCCTTTCCCTACCTTCCCTCCGGAAGTCTGCTTCCTCAGAGGAGCCCAGGGATAAACCCTCCAAGGAGGCCCCTCTGCCTGGGCTGCTCGCCATGGCTGCCCCCCACCCCGCGCCCGGCACTCAGGGAGCAGCTTTGGGCCGCCTTTCCAGCCAGAAGCTGGCGGCGCGGGAGGAGGCGGGACTCGGGGAGCGCCCTCTGCAGGACCAGACCAATAGCTAGGCTCAGCCGCCCCGGCCGCCTTGCTGATTGGCCAAAGGCGGGGGCGGTGGGAAAGGGAGAGTCCGGGTCCGGCCGCTGGCTCGGTGCCCCGGGGTTTAGTACCAGCCCGAGGGAGCCGGCAGGAGGCTGCTGAGAGCGGCGGGAGTGGCTACGCGCGCTGCCCCTTCAGAGGTGGGTTGGCGCTCAGAGACCATCCCTCACTGCAAAGCCGCCGGGAACCCAAGGGGGCGGGGACTTGGCCCCACCTTGTTCCGGAGCGCCCCCTCTCCCGAAGGTCCGCGCTCTAACTCACTCCCACGCAGCCTCCTCGCCGAGCCTCCGACCTCTACTCTTCGTTCCCCTTCCAGGCTCAGTTTCCTCTACAACGACCCCTTCAGGGTCAAAGGAAGCGCCGGAGAATGACTCAGTCCTCCGCGTGGGGCAGTGGCAACAACACTGCGCACTGTGGCTCGGGGCAGATACCTCAAACCCCAATGCCTTCTCCCAGCTGCCAGCCATTGGGGGTGAGGGGGTAACAGGGAGAACAAGGAGGGGGATGGGGAGTGGCACCACTGTGGCTGGGAAGGGAATCTCAAGCCCTTCTGACCCCACATCTCGGCTGTAGCTTCTCCGGGTCCCCCATCTCCCATTAGCTCCTCCCCTTGGGTAAGAGGCGGTGGGACAAGTCAGGCATCTTGGAACTGTGGACGGGAAAAGGTGAGGGAGCATGCTTACAGCAGGGACAAGGGTGGGTGCAGGGAGAGACTTGGCAGTTACCCCAGCCCAGTGCTTCCATTACTCTCAAACTCTGTACCCGTGAGGCCACCACCAGCCAGCCATTCCCTGAGGAGTGGCACCAGGTTGCATTGCACCCCTGGTTGCCATGACAACAGGAGGGATTACACACCAGGACACTAACCCCGGGATTCAAGAGAGATTTAAAGGGACAGCTCCATCTGAAATCAGCCTACATCTCCTTGGATTCAAAGGAGAGTCAGGTGAAGGGAGAAGAAAGGGCAAGGCCGCAGGCCTGAAGACTCCAGGGGCAAGTTCTCTCAACTCTCAGCCCATGCCATCACCCACATATCTCAACCCACCCCCCAACCCTCAGGAAAAGGGCCCCTCCACCTTACTAGAAGTAGAATTGGGGTCTCTCTGCAAGAGGAATACACCCATACCATCCCCTCCTCGACAATGACAATGACCATGTCAACCCCTGGGGAAGGGTCGGGGGAAGGACCTTGCCAGCTTCCCTCTCTGCAGAGTCCAAGGCTAGGATCTTCCCGGGGAAGGAAGAGGCAAGTGGGAAGGTGAATCTGGCCTTAGAGGCAGGGACAAAGTTTTCTCTCAGCCCTGTAATGGCCACCAAATGAGGAGGGGCAGAACCCAGCATTAGGTTATGGAGGCCAGGCGCCAACCCAGGGTGGACACAGAACACTGCCTGCAGAAAGGGCCACGAGATGCATAGCCTTTGAGTTGCATATCACCTCTTTACAGAAGAGAAAACGCAGGCTTCAAGAGGTTAGACAGCTTGCTTGGGTTCTTCCTTTAGATGTGGGAAGCTGAAGCAGCCCAGGGAAGCAGGGGCCCCAGGAGTCCTCAGAGGACATAGGCCCCATAGCCACACCCCTGGGCTCCACTCCCTGCCCTGCCCCCCTCACTCCAATTATGCCCCCATCCACTGGCCAGGAGCAAGGAAGCTAAATTACTGGGCCTTTCCCTCCCTCTACACCCCTGCCAGGCACTATTAATGGGTTTACTGGGCAGCCTCAGATTGAGAGGCCTTTAATCACAGGCTCAGGGATGGGCTTAATTAACCCCTAAGCAGCTTACAGTGGGGCCCAGGCAGGCAAGAGCAGGGGGGCCCAGCAGGCTGGACAGGAGTTGGAGGCACTGAGCCCTCCAAGGCTGCAGAAGCTAGGGAACATTGGTACAGTCCCTCCACTGCATGAAGAAGAGGCCTTTCCTGGGGGGACAATGGTGTCACAGTTTAGGTTCTGGCCCACTCACAGCAGCCTTCACTTTCCTGCTTCAGTTTCTCAGAAGGAAGGAACAGTCATTTTAACCAAATTAGGAGGCCTGGAATATGCTGCAGAGGCAGCAGCAAGGCCTCCAGCAAGGACTGCATGGGAGGGAGGCAGCTAGGCCATGGGAAGGGCAGACAAATCAGAGCAAAATCAGAGCCCTTTACAGTTGTTAGGGTCTTTAGCCTCTAGAACAGGGAACTTCACCTGACAGGTCCATAAATGCACTTAATGGGTCCATGAACCCCAGAGTGGAATACAGATTTTGTGCAGAGAAACATTTGTCTCTGATGAGGGCCCATGGCTGTCATCAGTTTCTCAAAGGGATCCAGGACCAACAAAAGTTAAGAACAATGATCTTGTCCCATCACTTCATCTTACAGATGCAGAAACATAGGTCCCAAAAGGGAAGTGATTGACTCAAGGTCACAGGTTAATGAGGTAATAACTCAGAGCATAGCATAATAACTGTGACTGTCCCTAACAGTAACTCTCATTCTCCAGCACAGCCTTTAAGTCTCCCGTCAGCCTCTTTACTGAAGAGGAGACACAGACTCGGAGAGGTTAAGCAACTTGCTCCTGAGGCTTCCTAGCTTGTCTGGGTGGCCCATTCCCTTGCCCTAAAACCTCCTACAGAGCCAAGTTGAGGCTTCCAGATCTGGCATTCTCTATGCACAGCTTCCTATGCCCCTGCCCACACACACCCATCTCTAGCACATGCTAGTCTACTCCACCCATTTGGTGGGCACCGCATCATGGACTTCTGATCCCCAGGCTGCACTGCTGTTCTCTCCACCCCAGCCATCCTCCAAGGCCCAGCTCCTAGGGCCCACTTTCTCATCAGCCAGGCCTCATGTCATTGTCCTCCAGCAACAGTGAGTGTGCATTATCTCTGGAGCAAGCATACCCCTGCCCTCCACAGAGGTGAGTTATGCTGTGCCTCCAGCCCCACCCTGGTGCAGGTGTGGCAGGACCATAGAGGCCACCTGCATGAATGGCTGAGTGGTTGGGTGGAGTAGTGCTACTCTTACAGGGACCCGTTGGAGTGCCTGACTGCTGCTCCCCACCCTGCCTGGCACCCTCTGAACCACTGATATAAACTGACATCTTCTCCCCTTCTTACCTGTCTCAGAGTTGGTGGCAGCAACCGGCATGGTGAGGTCAGCAAGGGCTCTGAAATATCTCTCCTGGAGGAGGGGAAAGAGGAAGATGAGAGGCGCAAGGGCAAAGCAACAGGAAAGGAATAAAGAAGGGCCTCCCCTGGGGACCAGCCAACAAAGCAGGAAAGAAGACACTGCCCAGAGACTGGATGGTTCCACAACCCACTGGAGGCAGGAAGAGCAGAGATTTCATGCCCATTTCTTCAAGGAGGAGGAGACAGAGGATCAGAGAGATTAATTAATTTGCCCAAGGTCACAAAGCTAATAAAGAGAGCTACAATGAAAATCCAGGTTTTATGGCTCTTAAAAAATTAAGTGTTTCTGCCAGTCATCTCCTTTTTTTAAAAAAATCCTCACCTAAAGACATGTTTATTGATTTTAGAGAGAGGAAAAGAGAGAGAGAAACATTGATGTGAAAAGCATCAATCAGCTGCCTCTCGTATATGCCTGGACAACCTAGGTGTGTGCCCTGACCAGGAATCAAGCCCACAACCTTTTGGTGTACAAGACCACACTCCAACCAACTGAGCCACACCAGCCAGGGATGTCCTTTTGTTTGTGTGTGTTTTGAGAGGGGGTGGGTAAGAATACAAAATTTTGAGTCAAAAGCAGGAAAGATGGTGTTCCCAGACAGTAAGCTCCATGAAGCAAAGAACCACATCTGTTTTATTTTGCCCCCAGATCCTAGGCCTAGCACAATGTAGATAGATATACTCTCCACAAACATGTGTCAGTCTGTCTGACCGAAATGATGTCATACCTCTCCAAGGCCTCTCTGGGTTCCTCTTCCCCCCTTTTCCCCTTCTTAGCCCAGAGTTGGGAGGAGGAGAGCAGGGGGCTTTGGACAGAACCAGGCATGGAGTTTATAGCCCTAGTTTCCATTCCAGGGCCTCCCCATGCTGGGGTTGACTCCCCCATTCTTCAGGAAAGGGGTGGGGGGGCAATCCACCATCCTTCCTCCCTTTGCCTTCCTGGCCAAGTGCTGCTGGAGAAAACCCTAATTCCCAGTTGCCATGACAACAAGAGGCAGTGGCTCACAGCAGGGGTGGGGGAGTGGGGGAAGTAGCTGGCAGTGCCCACTTTAGGATGTAATGTCTGCTGGGCCCAGGGGATAGGGGAGCCACAACTTCACCTCCTTCCCAAAGAAAGGATTCTTCCCAGAGGGACCACTACCTGATTTTAATAATATCCTCTCCCATTCCCCTCCAAGCCTGAGCTGGTCACCTGAGCTCATATAACAAAAATTACAAAGAAAGCAGGATGACTGCCCTTTCTCCTGGATCTGCCCCTGAAGATGTGGAAGAAAGCAGTTTTCAGGGAGAGGAAGGTCACCTCCTGTCAGGCTAGCACCCAGGCTGGGAGAAATGCTCAGGATCCACTCTGCCAGCCAGTGCCCCCAGTGCCAACCCCTGCAGTCCCTATTCCTAGAGAGCATCGAGGAGGGATCTCTTCCTTCCCCATCCCAAACGACCTGGAACCTAGAACCTTCTCCTGGCTGGTGCTGCTCTTCCCTGACAGAGCTACTAACAGAGGGGATTCCAGACGTCTGCCTTCCCTAGAGGGTGGGGGGTGGGAAGAGGCAGGGGGAATCCTGTCCCCAGAAGTCTAGCCCAGCCTGCCTGGGTTTCTCCCTGAGGAGTCGGTTCCCACGGCAGCAGCTAGCTTGCCCCACCCCCACCCGAGCCTCTGAGAGGGCGGGGTCCGGCTCTGCCCAAGGAGAACGGCAGTGCCAGGCGAGTCAGGCTGGCTCCGGGCCAAGGTCCCGGGCCCAGGCATCTGGGAACTCGCACAGCGGCTTCCAAAAGCCTGGACCCAGGTGCCCTGTCACCCCCACCTCCAGGCCATGCACATGACGCACGGCCTGCGGGTGATGCGGGCCAGCGGTGAAAGGGAGAGGTTTTCTTCAACCTCCCACCTGCCCCTTCCTCAATACCCGTACAAAGAGACGTGGAAGAGAAAGGTCTGACAAAGGCGCTTTGAAGACCCACAGGTCGTAGGGAGGGGTAGACAGCCTGAGGGATGGGGTTCCAGGGGCCGGGCGGACTGCGCAGAAGCGGCAATCGGCGCCCCTGCCCCACGAGCCCAGCCCGAACACGCTGGGCGCTAGGACCTGGGGGTAGGGGGGCGTGTTGCGAGC